TGCTTTTCAGGCCTTGTTCTTCATACCCCATGTGTGCTTTTTAGGCCCTGTTCTTCACACTCCATGTGTGCTTTTCAGGCCCTGATCTTCATACTCCGTGTGTGCTCTTTAGGCCCTGTTCTTCCTACCCCATGTGTGCTTTTCAGGCCTTGTTCTTCAAACCCCATGTGTGCTCTTTAGGCCCTTTTCTTCCTACCCCATGTGTGCTCTTCAGGCCTTGTTCTTCCTACCACATGTGTGCTCTTCAGGCCCTGTTCTTCATACCCCATGTGTGCTCTTCAGGCCTTGTTCTTCTTACCCCATGTGTGCTCTTCAGGCCCTGCTCTTCATACCCCATGTGTGCTGTTCAGGCCCTGTTCTTCATACCCCATGTGTGCTCTTCAGGCCCTGCTCTTCATACCCCATGTGTGCTGTTCAGGCCCTGTTCTTCATACCCCACGTGTGCTCTTCAGGCCCTGTTCTTCATACTCCATGTGTGCTTTTCAGGCCCTGTTCTTCTGATACGCCATGTATTGCCATGTACCCCTTTGAATACCTTCTAGCCAGGCTTGAAACAGTTCACAGCTTTACTGAAGACTCAGCAACACAGTTCACCAGCGCACATGAATAAGGATTCGGCCCGAACTAACAAATGCAGGCTTCCAGGTTCATACCTTATAGAGAAGCAAAGTCCATTCAGCAAGAGTCCAGTAATGGTAGGTTCCTGGTCCGGGGGGAATCCCAGCAGGGTGACCTAAGAGGGGGCCAAGTGCTCCAGTAGGACTATTTGGTGCAACAAACCTTCCTCTGTAAATCCCATGTGGAAGAACAAGAGAGCTCTCAGCCCTCCCCTTGTATTTATCTGGCTTACAGCAGGGGGCAGCACCCACAAAGCCCGGGAAAGAGTCTAAATGCAGTTAACCCCTTCCCATCCTGAGCAGCCTGTAACTGCCTACATAACTACACAGTGCAATGAATGCAACAGAAATGCCGTACAATCAATGACACCCCACAAGCACCGGCTTACATACACAGCTCATGGATTTAAGTTAGACATGCAAGAAACTGAGATCTTCGCAAGGCAAAGAAGTCTCATATATGATGGTCAGAGGTGGGTATGGGGGCGGAGACAAGGGATTATGGTCAAAGGTGGGTATGGAGGAGGAGACAAGGGACGATGGTAGGAGGTGGGTATGAGGGAGGAGACAAGAGACGATGGTCGGAGGTGGGTATGAGGGCAGAGACAAGGGATGATGGTCAAAGGTGGGTATGGGTGAGGAGACAAGGGACGATGGTCGGAGGTGGGTATGGAGGAGGAGACAAGGACGATGGTCGGAGGTGGGTATGAGGGCAGAGCCAAGGGATTATGGTCAAAGGTGGGTATGGGGGAGGAGACGAGGGACGATGGTCGGAGGTGGGTATGGGGGAGGGACAAGGGATGATGGTCGGAGGTGGGTATGGGGGAGGAGACAAGGGATGATGGTCGGAGGTGGGTATAGGGGAGGAGACAAGGGACGATGGTCAAGGGACGAGGTGGGTATGAGGGCAGAGACAAGGGATTATGGTCAAAGGTGGGTATGGGGGACGGAGACGGGGTTAGAGGTGGGTATGGGGGCAGGACAAGGGATGATGGTCGGAGGTGGGTATGGGGGGAGGAGACAAGGGATGATAGTTGGAGGTGGGTATGGGGAGGAGACAATGGACGATGTTCAGGGTCAGAGGTGGGTATGGGGGCGGAGACAAGGGACGATGGTTAGAGGTGGGTATGGGGGGAGGAGACAAGGGACGATGGTCGGAGGTGGGTATGAGGGCAGAGACAAGGGATGATGGTCGGAGGTGGGTATGGGGGGGTGGAGACAAGGGTTCAGGGTCGATGGTAAGGGACAGAGGTGGGTATGGGGGGTGGAGACAAGGGATGATGGTCGGAGGTGGGTATGGGGGGAGGAGACAAGGGATGATGGCTGGAGGTGGGTATGGGGGGTGGAGACTAAGTACGATGGTCAGAGGTGGGTATGGGGGGAGGAGACAAGGGATGATGTCGGAGGTGGTATGGGGGGAGGGACAAGGGAGACAAGGTACGATAGTCTGGAGGTGGGTATGGGGCGGAGACTATGATGTCGGTAGGTGGGATGGGGGGTGGAGACGGAGGTGGGTATGTGGGAGGAGACAAGGGATGATAGCTGGAGGTGGGTATGGGGAGGAGACTAGGTACGATGGTCGGAGGTGGGTATGGGGGCGGAGACAAGGGATGATGTCGGAGGTGGGTATGGGGGACGGAGACAAGGGACGATAGCTCGGAGGTGGGTATGGGGCGGAGACGGGACGATGGTCGGAGGTGGGTATGGGAGGAGACAAGGGATGATGGTCGGAGGTGGGTATGGGGGCGGAGACAAGAGACGACGGTCGGAGGTGGGTATGGGGGAGAGACAAGGGATGATGGTTCGGAGGTGGGTATGCGGAGAGACAAGGGGCGATGGTCGGAGGTGGGGTATGGGGCCGGAGACAAGGACGATGGTCGGAGTGGGTATGGGGGGCGGAGACAAGGGATGATGGTTCGGAGGTGGGTATGGGGGGCGGAGACAAGGGATGATGGTTGGAGGTAGGTATTCGGAGGGCGGAGACAAGGGGCGATGGTTGGAGGTGGGTATGGGGCGGAGACAAGGGACGATGGTTGGAGGTGGGTATGGGGGCGGAGACAAGGCATGATGTCGGAGGTGGGTATGGGGGGCGGAGACAAGGGATGATGGTCGGAGATAGGTATGGAGGGCGGAGACAAGGGTGGAGTTTCTGCACCTATTCTCTGAGAACAAAAGCCCTAAGGCTCAGGAACAGAGTTTTATAGCAGCTCTCAGTGATAAACATTTATTGTTTATAAACAAATCCAGGTGATCATCAAGTCAATGTTAGAAAACAAAGCCGTGTGATCTCCTTGTAATGGCAGATATCACCTAAACGGCCCATAAAATGCACACTTAAAGTTCAACAAAATGTAAGTGAAAGTGGAACCTGCCGGCCGACCAAGTGTCACCACAGATGCCTCTGATCCCAGGTCTTTATTTTTATTTAGTGTGGGGGATGGGCGAGGTTCGCTAAAATAGAGATTATCATTTCAGTCCACACTAAAAAACTGATAGAAATATATAAAGAGAGAATATAAAGGGTACAAATGGCAGTTGCAGGAAGGTGAGGACGAAGCCTCCATCTGAAGGCTGAAGAGGTGGTTGGTGGGGCCATAGACACCGGACTGCAGCTTCAATTACAGAGATCTGAAGAACAGCAGTTGACATTCGGATGGAGGGCCCTCATCGTGGCACATTGGGTCCTGGTGGCGCATCCACGGGTCAGATAGACTAAAACAGGAATGAAACATAGGAATATGAAGGTGAACTGACACTTGTCACGGCTATAACATGAAAAGTCAGACAGAAGAGAACTGGTCATCATTATATAACTAACCTATAGAGAGAGGGGAGCAGTCAGGAGGCGGGGCCACTCTACAACTCAGTGCAGTCTTATTATCAGAACAAATGGCAGTTAGGATGTCTTTTTAGCCCTGGACATGGACCTGTCAGTTTCTTCACAACTTTCTAACATCATCTGGGCAGCACAGCAGCTAAGTGGTTAGCCCTTCCGCCTTGCAGTACTCCGATGGTTAGACACCACCTGCCTGGAGTTTGCATGTTCTCCCTGTGCCTGTGTGGGTTTCCTCCAGGTACTCCGGTTTCCTCCCACACTCCAAAGACATGCTGGGAGGTGATTTGGATCCTGTCTACATTGGCCCTAGTATGTGTATGAATGAATGTGAGTTAGGGACCTTAGATTGTACGCTCCTCAGGGGCGGGGACTGATGGGAATGTACAATATATATGTAAAGCTGCGTACATTGATGGCGCTATATAAGTACCTGAAATAAATAAATAAAAACAAATACATTTCACAGCAACAGCATCATTTTCCAGAAAAGTTCCACCTCTTATTATTACATTATCATTCTTGGTCTCCAGTCAGTGACTCCGCCTAGGCTGAGATGATGTCATCACTCTGCTGCAGGCAGAAGGAACATTGTAGCTTTGTAGAAGGAGGAGGAGTCAGAGAAAGGACAGAATTTATTTTTTTCTTGTTGCCCTCACCTCCCTATCCCAGTGGCAACCGCTATCTCATTTCTTTAGTGCCAGGTGTACCGACTCCTCCCCTTCAGTCTTGCACAGGTGTACCGACTCCTCCCCTTCAGTCTTGCACAGGTGTACTGGCTCCTCCCCTTCAGTCTTGCACAGGTGTACTGGCTCCTCCCCTTCAGTCTTTTACAGGTGTACCGGCTCCTCCCCTTCAGTCTTTTACAGGTGTACCGGCTCCTCCCCTTCAGTCTTTTACAGGTGTACCGGCTCCTCCCCTTCAGTCTTGCACAGGTGTACCGGCTCCTCCCCTTCAGTCTTTTACAGGTGTACCGGCTCCTCCCCTTCAGTCTTGCACTGGTGTACCTGCTCCTCCCCTTCAGTCTTGCACAGGTGTACCTGCTCCTCCCCTTCAGTCTTGCACAGGTGTACATGCTCCTCCCCTTCAATCTTGCACAGGTGTATCAGCTCCTCCCCTTCAGTCTTGCACAGGTGTACTGGCTCCTCCCTTTCAGTCTTGCTCAGGTGTACATGCTCCCCCCCTTCAGTCTTGCACAAGTGTATTGGCTCCTCCCCTTCAGTCTTGCACAGATGTACTGGCTCCTCCCCTTCAGTCTTGCACAGGTGTACCCAGGGGCAGACTGACAACTCATGTGGCCCTCGGGCAATAGGAGATCATGGGGCCCCTGTGTCCTTGCCCAAACTCAAAAAAGCCTCTGAAAAAGGTACCAGGGGCATCTCATGGGGCCCCCTAGTGACCCAGGGCCCTCGGGCAGTGCCCGAGTTTCCAAATGGTCAGTCCGCCCCTGGGTGTACTGGCTCCTCCCCTTCAGTCTTGCACAGGTGTACCGGCTCCTCCCCTTCAGTCCTGCACAGGTGTACTGGCTCCTCCCCTCCAGTTTTGCACAGGTGTACCAGCTCCTCCCCTCCAGTCTTGTACAGGTGTACTGGCTCCTCCCCTCCAGTCTTGCATAGGTGTACTGGCTCCTCCCCTTCAGTCTTGCACAAGTGTACTTGCTCCTCCCCTTTAGTCTAGCACAGGTGTACTGGCCCCTCCCCTTCAGTCTCGCCGAGGTGTGCACTGACTCCTCCCCTTCAGTCCTCCGTGATCAGTGATGACATCAATGGTAATAAAACAAGGTATGTGGTGAAAAAGGAGAGGTGGGGGGAGGGGGAATCCTCTGAAGGGGGAGGGGTTAATAAAATGTTGGCTGGAGGGAACCTTCCAAGTAATACTGGAGGACGAGGTGTGAAGACATAGACGCACTCACCATTGTACCCGACGGTCGTTATCAAGGCGAAGCAATGGTCGGAGTTCCCAGAACAGGTCATCACTCTGGAAGCTGCAGCTTCCCCTCCCGGTGCAGGAGCTCTGCCGGCACTTCAGAGCCTCACCTAGAGGAACATAGAGAGATCAGCAGGACACAGAAGGGAGCCGACAACCTCTTCTACTGAGCTGACAACACGCTGCCTCCGATCCACTGAAATCCCAAGCCGTGTTGTCAGCTCTCCACATATGGACTACAAAACACACCTCCACCTTATGTTATGGAAATGAGGATGGTGGGAGGTGTTCTGTAGTCCAGAAGAAGAGACATTGACAACACTGCCTCTGATCCACTGAAATCCCAAGCTGTGTTATCAGGTCTCCACATATGGACTACAAAACACCTCCACCATATGTTATGGAAATAAGGATAGCGGGAGGTGTTCTGTCCTTGACAACTCTGCCTCTGATCCACTGAATTCCCAAGCCATGATGTCAGCTTTCCCCCCCAGCTGGACTACAGAACACCTCCCGGCTTTAAAGGGGAGCTTTGAAATGCTCATTTCATTTTGCAGAGCTGCAAAGGTGAAATTAGAGGTCAGTTCTGATGACGTTTCATTGGAGGTGGAAATGTTTGTTTTTCGGGGTGACATTACAAATACAAAATACCGACCAGCGCCGCCTCTGCGAATCCCAAAGATCGCCGTATTCCATGTGATAAAAAAGAAACTCTCCCTCAACCTCACTCGTGTACCTCAAGAACTGTCCTTTGGGAGCGGAAGGGGATGTCGGAGGACGGCAAGTGACGAAACGCGTAGGGCTGGGCTAGGAGGTGACGTTCAAGGGGGAAATGAACTGAAACATATTCTTTTTCTTCCTCACAGGTAACAAAAGTTGCAAAAAAAAAAAAAATGTCTTCATGAACAAAGTCAATATGTGAAAAATTTTTTTGTGTTTTCTAAATCTTCCCACAATGGACTAAAAATGACAGAAGAAAGAAAAGAAAGGAAAGTTCTGGGCTCTCGGTTCTCGGCTCTCGGTTCTGGGCTCTCGGTTCTCGGTTCGGTGGAATGACTTCCTACATTGTTTTTCTTCACAACTGCAACACGGAATGAAGTCAGAATCACCGAAACCTTTTCATTTCTCCAATAAAAAGTAACAAATATTCAGGAAAACAAATTGGAACAAAAAACAAAGTCAATCTGCTGCCAGTATACAGTAATTATATATATATACAGGCGCTCCTCGGAGTACCGACGCCTCGGGTAACGTCAGTATCGGTTTACGAATGAAAATCCATTAAAAATAACGTCTCGGTTTACAAATTTTTTTTCACAATACAAACGGATTAATTGGTTTTCAACGCATTTACAACTTTTTTTTTTTTTTTTTAATCATGTCCGTTTATGCCTTTAAACCACTTTTTATCCGGACACTTTCCCCCCCCTTCCAGTCCGGACACTTTCCCCCCTTCCAGTCCGGACGCTTTCCCCCCTTCCAGTACCGGACGCTTTCCCCCCCTTCCAGTCCGGACGCTTTCCCCCCCTTACAGTCCGGGACGCTTTCCCCCCCTTCCAGTCCGGACGCTTTCACCCCCTTCCAGTCCGGACGCTTTCACCCCCTTTCCAGTCCGGACACTTTCCCCCCCTTCCAGTCCGGACACTTCCCCCCCCCTTCCAGTCCGGACGCTTTCCCCCCCCCCCTTCCAGTCCGGACACTTTCCCCCCCCTTCCAGTCCGGACGCTTTCCCCCCCCCCTTCCAGTCCGGACGCTTTCCTCCCCTTCCAGTCCGGACGCTTTCCTCCCCTTCCAGTCCGAACACTTTCCCCCCTTCCAGTCCGGACACTTTCCCCCCCTTCCTGTCCGGACACTTTCCCCCCCTTCCAGTCCGGACACTTCTCCCCCTTCCAGTCCGGACACTTCTCCCCCAGTTTTGAGGGTGTTTTCCAGTCCGGACACTTCTCCCCCTTCCAGTCCGGACACTTTCCCCCCTTCCTGTCCGGAACACTTTCCCCCCCTTCCTTCCTTCCTGTCCGGACACTTTCCCCCCCTTCCACCCCCCGGACACTTTCTGACCCCTTCCAGTCCGGACACTTTCCCCCCCCCTTCCAGTCCGGACACTTTCACCCCCTTCCAGTCCGGACACTTTCCCCCCCTTCCAGTCCGGACACTTTCACCCCTTCCAGTCCGGACACTTTCACCCCCCCTTCCAGTCCGGACACTTTCACCCCCCTTCCAGTCCGGACACTTTCACCCCCTTCCAGTCCGGACACTTTCACCCCCTTCCAGTCCGGACACTTTCCCCCCTTCCAGTCCGGACACTTTCCCCCTCTTCCAGTCCGGACAAACCCCCCCCTTCCAGTCCAGACACTTCCCCCCCTTCCAGTCCGGACACTTTCACCCCCTTCCAGTCCAGGCCAATTTTCAGCTTTCAGCACTATCACACTTTGAATGACAATTGCACGGTCATGCAACACTGTACCCGTATGAATTTTTTACCATTTTTTTTTTAGACAGATAAATCTTTATTTTGGTGGTATTTATTCACTGCTGGGAGTTTTCTTTTTTTTGCTATGTAAATGAAAAAGTCCAACAAATTTGAAAAAAAGTGTTTTTCTTATAACATTTTGCAAATAAATAATATTGCATCATAAATCTCGGCCAAAATGTATTCAGTTATCTTTTTAGTAAAAAAAAAAATAAGCCAAATTACTTTATAACCAAAAAAATTATAATCTTTAAACTTTTTTTACATTTTTATATTATTATTATTTATGTTTTTGTTTTTTTTTTTTACATACTGTCACTCTAGCAGGGTCACCATGGTGACACTGTACTAGTTGTGGGGGGTGATGAAGATTTTTTTTTTTTTCACACTGATTGCTTTTACACCCATATAGGATGTAAAAAAAAACAATCATTTCTCTTTCTCTCTGTCTGCATTCTTGCAGCCATTGAGAAATACTGAGTGAGCTGTGATTGGTCACGGTTTGTCACATGGTACAAGGCTGTTGTGAATGGCCCTGTACCATGTGATCTCTGTGATCATTCACAGATTTCACACGTAGTAAGCAATGATGTCACAAGTGACACCTTGCTTACTACTCTGCATGTGATCACTGATTGGCCAATCAGTGATCACATGATCGGGACCTCGCACAGAGGTCCCGTCCGACGATTGGTGTTTCACTGTGTCCAGAGGACACAGCGGGCACCGGATCGCGGTGCTGCACACTCCCAGGGAGCGCGCACAGCTAGAAATGGCGGGTGCCGTTTATGAACGGCAACCCGCCCCTGGAGTGCCACCGTCCTGTCGTTTATAAACAGCGTCCGGACGGCAAGGGGTTAAAGTGCACTTTATATAAGAGTTTTGAACAGAAAAAATACTTTTTTAAACTTTTTTTCTGACCTCTGGAACGGATTAATTGGTTTTCAATGCATTCCTACGGGAAACTGCATTTCGGTTTATGAATTTTTGCAATACGAAAAGTCCCGCAGAACGAATTAAATTCGTAAACCGATACACGTCTGTATATATATATATATATATATTATATATATATATATATATATAATGACTGCTGCCAGCAGAGATGTCGCCCTCTGGTGGACAATGGCGGGATGTGTAACATGGAAAGAGATAATAAGAAATACAGATGTATCAGAAGGAAATGTTCTTACTTACCAGGGATGAGGATGAGCCCCAGGATGAGGAGAGCGATCACGGCTTTCATTATGACGTCCTTCAGGTTCTGCTATGAACTGTGTAGGGCCCCGGGTCCCTGTACTTATAGGATGGGGGAGGGGAGGGGAGGGGCTGTCATTGCCAGTAACAGTTTATATTGTAACTCATTTCCTGGAGAGATCCTGTGGCAATGTGTGATCACAATCTGCTCACTTCCCGTTCTCTGTTTACATCGTACAACAGAGTTTAATAATTCCTCTGTGACCAAGGATGCATGGAGACCTTTACAGGGCTCTACCACCCAATCCTCATATACAATATATATATATACCCACATGGAAGAAAAATATATATTTAAAAAATATTCTTCCCAAATATATTGACATATATTTGAAATACTACAATTTATCAATATATCTCAAAATATATTTCAATAAATAAATATATATTCTGTATGTTGAAATGCGTTTTTATTACAAAATTTATGAAAAATATTTTTAAAAATACATTTAACCTCTTAGCGCCGGCGCCTCCCTCCCCTTTAAGAGTTTCAGAAGCCGGGAGGCGGGGTTTTAGGGTCATGTGGCCGCCGTGATTCGCCATCGCAGCGGTCACATGACCAGAAAAGGTCCCAATCGCAAGCGGAGATCGGGACCTTTCCGTGAGTCACAGACATATGTGCTTGGAGCACGCAGGGAGCGCGCTCTCAGCACATACAGGTGAAACTGGAAAAATGAGAATATGGTGCAAAAGTTGATTTATTTCAGTGCAGCAACTTAGAAGGTGAAACTAATATATGAGACTCATTCCATGCAAAGCAAGATAGTTCCAGCCGTGATTTGTCATCATTGTGATGATTATGGCTTACAGCTCATGAAAACCCCAAATCCACAATCTCAGAAAATGAGAATATTGGGAAAAGGTGGAATAATCTCGGCTCAAAGTGTCCCACTCTAATCAGCTCATTCAGCCATAACACCTGCAAAGGGTTCCTGAGCCTTTAAATGGTCTCTCAGTCTGGTTCAGTAGGAATCACAATCATGGGAAAGACTGCTGACCTGACACC